CGTTTCGGTCATCTTGAGCTTTGCAAAGAAGGGAACTTGTCCATATTTTACGTCGATCTCCTCATATTTTGTTCGGAGAGACGATATTGATACTTATTTAAAATGAATAATGTTGATATCAATGAGTTTGTTTCGGTTGATTTTATCATACAAATAAATAAATAAATTAATTAATTAATCAAAACTGGTTCGGTTTAAATGTATTTTGTAATAATGAATGGAATTTGGACATTGGAAGTATGCTATTCGTACTCTAGCTACATTTTAAAACGTATTCCTACGTAAAGATCACCACAATTTTAAATTCGTTAGAAAAATTACAATTTCAAATAAAATAAAATAAAATAAAATAAAAACACACGTAACTAATGCAAAAATGATGTGATTTGATTTTTCATATTGCAGGTTCAGAAAATTCAAGTTTTTACCTTCGTGAATTAATAAATTATAATTAGTGTCATTCGATACCTACTTTATTTACTGACTCTGTATCGCATATACTCTTACGAATATAAAATGTTACCTGGTTGTCCTTGTAGGAAATGGGTCTGCTCCAGATTTCGGCATCGATTGCGAGCCTCACCTACATCTCGTTCACCACCCGCCGAGAAAATTGTACCATTACCTACCCAAATTGTTACAACAGTTCGTTCGATCGTTCGTTTCAGCCGAAAGACGTCCACTGCTGGACAAAGGCCTCCCCAAGGATTTCCACAAAGGGCAGGCCTCCCACTAGGTGGACCGATGATCTGGTTACAACAGTTAAAGAAAGTAAAATCAAGACAAATAAAACGTTTATTTTGGAACGGTAACTACAAACTAAAGTTAGGCACCGATATAATATGACACTCAGTAGAGATCTCAGAACACGTTATGGTCACTTATTTCCTGCGGACACCATGAGAGAAGGCCGAAATGCAGAGCCCCCTATGGATGATATAAGTAAGACAAACTGTGTTACGTTGTTTCTAGATTAAAGCCAGTGCCTTAAAATGAGGGCGTTGATCAATGCGACACAGTTTTATACTTCTGCAGGGGTCATAGTTTTTCCATTGTATCATGTACCCTTGTACTATACGAAATAAAATATTAAATTGAATTATAAATGGTTTCGGCTGATTTTCAGGCATTCCTGAAGTTCTGATTTCCCGCAAATTATGTAGGTACTTAAGATTTTTTTTTAATATAGGCACTTTGTTTACACCTAAATCCAATTATAAGATAGAGTTGTTTACCTTATTATAGCTATACATACATTATTGAATTGTCCAAGTGTCTGCGCAAATATTGATGTAATACACTCGACGTCAAATAAATCGCACCTCCCGCGACAAGCATTTTCAAACGTATGCATCCCCACTTCCCACCAATATTAATACCATTTAAAAGCCTAGTTCTAACCTTCATTTCATTAAAGGAAAGGTTTTTACCCCAAAAATGTGTCTTTACAAGGATCCAGAGTCACTTCTTAAAAAAATAGGTAGTTACGGTAGAGCCAACTTTTATGGCTATAAAACTGTTAAGTTGGGTTTAATTGCTATCCATCTGTTAAAGAGGACACGTGAAATCATTATTTGGTTTTATAACCATAAAAATTGGTCTAATTGATCCCATAGGTGGGCCCAAAGTGAGGTATTTTTTCAAGTCACATTTATGGTAGGTATATGTTAATCATTTATTAAGAAATTAAATGTGTTTTTCTTTAAGGATATTTATTGGGCTTTCAAATAACACCAATATTGTTGGGGTGCCATAGTTGTGTCAGAAGAAAATCGTTAAAGTTCGCGTCGCGGAAGGTGCGGTTTATTTGATGTTGAGTATAGTTGATGGTGAACCTAAATAAATAAATAGAGTTCGTATTTTTTGAATTCTTGAATGTATTCAAACTTTTATTAACATTGATTGTGAAGTATTGTTATCCGACCACTTTAACGCGTCCGCCCCCCAATTTAGCGCACACGGCCGCAATGTTTAGTAATTCGTGCATAATAACTCGCGCCCTCCGATATCATTGTTCGACAATATTCTAACAAACAACTTGTTCTAACGATTGTAGAGCGACTAAAGTGGGTTGGTTACTTGGTACTTTAAGTCAAAGCTATTGATATCTTCTCAAATATCAGTAAGTTGAATTTTACATTTGTAATGAGTTTGATTTTGGAATTTCTTTGCTTGCATTATTACATTTTCAATATAACTGTTACACAGTTCCTGAAACTACTGAAAAACATTGACGCGACAAAATTAAGTTGAGCGAGGGACCTTTATGGTCCGTACATAACCTCCTATAGTATTAAAATTTATTTTAAAATAGATTTTTCTTTATTTTAAACTTTATTGTCTATTCTAAGGCAACCTTTAAGAATTAGTGTTTTATGATATAGCTTTTTCTACTTTATAATATTCCAAATCGATTGGCAATATGTTTCTAACTTAAAATTGCTTAAAAATACGAACTCGTGTCATAAAATCTGTCACACTGCAAGTATCAAGATAACCCAGCGGCGCTTGCCCCGTGTCATCACCAGCCCAGCGGGACACCGCTAATTCGTCACGCGCGTCGATGTCGGGAAGCGCACTACAGTCGAGAGCTGATACCTTGATAGGGTTGGAGATTGTCTTTAATTGGGATAGGTTACTGACTGTTAACGATCATGCACTCACCTGCTACGCTACGATTACTTTCTAAGATTTTTAGTCGGCCGTTAGCTGGATTGGACATAAGCTGGATTGGACATTATGCCCATTGTTGCGCCCTACCCAGTTTCGGTTGGGAGCTCAATCCTCGAAATTGTTGACAAGTATGTCTACCATTGGACAAACGATTCAGTTAGGTAGGTCCAATTTTGAGCAAGAGGATCAAAAGCAATCGTCGAATCCAACTCGGCTGGGCAGCGTTCGGGAAATTACGCAACATCTTTTCGTCCAAAATACCTCAGTGCCTGAAGACTACAGTGTACAATACAACCAATGTGTGTTACCAGTGATGACTTATGGTTCGGAAACGTGGCCTCTCACTATAGGCCTTATACAGAAGCTCAAAGTTGCTATGGAGAGGGCTATGCTCGGTGTTTCTTTACGAGATCGAATCAGAAATGAGGAGATCCGTAAACGAACTAAAGTCACTGACAAAGCCCGACGGTTTAACAAGCTGAAGTGGCAATGGGCAGGGCACATAGTACGCAGAACTGACGGCCGATGGGGCAGTAAGGTTCTGGAGTGGAGGCCGCGTACCGGAAAACGCAGCGTGGGATGTCCACCCACAAGGTGGACCGACGACATCATAAAGATAGCAGGAAAGCGCTGGACGCAGGCCGCTACCAACCGGGTAACATGGAAAGCATTGGGGGAGGCCTTTGTTGGCCTGAGATGATGATGATGATGATGTTAGCTGGATCGGCTTCTAATTCATATGAGGAATCGACCGATACCAAATTGGTGTAACGTCCATATATTAATAATATGTGCATAATGATTAAAAATGCCTATGCGCAGACCACCGACTTTTAACTGGCCGATAGTTGGGCTCGATTTTTATTTGTATGCCGAATCGGCCGATACCAAATCGGTGTAATATGCGCACTTTCATACATCTCCATACTAATCAACAGCCCGACCTAACTATCGGCCAGCTAAAAGTCGATAGTCTGTACCTAGGCTAACAGCGCGACCAAACCATCGGCCGAGAAACTGTTTGTAGACTATGGGGTATCTTAGATTACAGTCAGTAAAGCGTATTTTGAGTTTTGGAATAACTTTATCCCTTTACATATTTGTTTGATTTTGAAAATACTTTACATTTGTTCCTCATCAACAATACTTTTAACTTTATGTTGGATCTTACGTCATACAAATTAAGCTAATAGACAAAATTCACTTACGGTTATGTTTGTAACGCTAGTTCAGCTCCCGACTTCGTATGCGTGAAAATAGTTGAACCATGTTACTCGCATGCTGATTGAGTGACGTGCCAATAAGAGGCTAGTTAGTTATTGGAATATGTATAAGTTATGGAAATTGATCTATTTTTCCATCAGCCAGTTCATGAAACCACGCAAATTATGTAGAGCTGCTTCGTGCACTTTTTGAACACAATTCAGCTGATGAGTATTTCTAAGATACGATACGCACTTTTTGTATCTAGGTCTAATTCGTAATTTAATCGTCTCCTAAAAAATCAAATAATGGATTTCTAAATCTCCTGGGTCCATATTTATTTTGACGGATTTCATGTGGGTGTTTGATTGGATGTGTAAGGTGGTGTCTTACGAAAGTAGAGCGTCTGGCACAGCCATTTTCAAACGGTTTGTAAATAGCAACACACTAACATTGACAATTAAAATCTAGGGGGATGATAATAGTTACGTAAACAGATAAAAGTTGATAAAAAAATTATAACGTAGGTACTATATAATTTTCGAAATATTGTTGCTCGTACATTCCCTCTAGATACTTCTCAAGTTGTTTGCTAACGATGTTTTCGGCGGAAATATTCACCCGTGAACTTCAAGGCCTCTCGGCGTCCGCTAAACCATGTTTACCGAGATTATAACGAGGCACGCCCCACCACCACTTCATACCCGTAACGAGTAATCGCGATCCCCTATTACCGCGCCCGTACAAAAGTTTACCGCACGAAAACCATGAAAAGCCGCGGCCTCAATGCCGGTGCCCACTCTCCACCATTTTCACGCAAATTAAAAGACACAAACGCACCATAAACAAGATTTTTCCCGCGCGCGTAAAACACGCCATTCACAGACGTCGTATTCAATTGCTCGAGAGCAACGGAACGCCCCGAGGCATTAATTAGAGCAGAAACTCGTGTCTATGGCCGTTCCTTTTTAAAACTGAGTCTTTATGCGAGCCCGCCTTTGTGCGCCTTCCGTTGCGGTAGTTAAGTGTCAAGCCTTAGAGGCAGTGTTTTAACCTCTATCTTCCTCAAAGGAATGTCCAAGTTTGATTCCGTGATTGATGTCACACTTTCGTTTTCTTTTTAGGAGCGGTTCACAGCGAGGAAGATCAAACGAGGTGCAATTCTACGGCGACGAGCCAAAACCTTGAAACTTCTGATGCAGAGGACGACATTTCTGTTGGGGACAATTGTAGCGACACATCCACCCCGCAGAAGGAGACTCTAGCATTCGAAACAAATCCAGATGCTTACCAGAAACGGGGAGAGTTGGAGGAGAACGAATGTTCATCTCCTATCGAATATAATATAAACAATAGAATACAGAACTCAAATTACAATTCGCCGTTTAAAGAAGACGACAATGAGTTTGAGAATCGAACAGAAGATCGGATGAAATATTACGACAATGGTCTCTTTCACCTGTACAGAGGAGATAGAGACAGTAATAAGGAAGCAGCAAATGAAAGTGGTTCTGCGTTCGGGCGCATGGGTGGATCGCTGTCTGACACAATCTACAATCGCTCTATGGATCTGTCGAAGAACTCCTTTCAGTCGCAACTATTGGCTGGGTTTGCTGCGTCAGTGATTGCTGGTAACTCGCAAAGAGAGTCACAAGAATCCACTGGTAATATTTTTTACTGTAACTTTTAATTAATTGATTGCACCATTCAGAGAATTTGTTTCATGTTAACTGATTTCCATAATTTGTTGAATTAGCTCACAGCGTAACACACTTGATTTCCATTGGTTTACGTAATGTCTTCGTCGTTTAGCGATAAGAACAGTGGCTTGGCTAGCGAAACATCGTTGACATTGTGCATCTCTTTTAGCCTAGGCGCCGACCACCAATTTTTAGTTGGCTGATAGTTGAACTTGATTCTAATTTGTATGAAGAATTGGCCGATAACAAGTCGGTGTAATGTGCACACTTTCATTACATCTCTATACTTATTCATATAGCCTGACTCAGCTATTGCCCAACTAATAGTCGGAGGTCTGCGTCTAGGCTTAAATGCAAAAATCATAATTGCCATTGTCTCCCATATTTTTACCTCGTTGTTATAGACCGACAAGCTCCCACCCGCCCTTCAGCCCCAAACACAGGGCGCAAGCCGCGGCGCCGGCGCACAGCGTTCACTCACGCGCAGCTGGCCTACCTCGAGCGCAAGTTCCGCTGCCAGAAGTACCTGAGCGTCGCTGATCGCGGGGACGTGGCTGACGCGCTCAGCCTCAGCGAGACGCAAGTCAAGACTTGGTACCAGAATAGGAGGTGGGTAGTTTGATTTTTATGGGCGACATGCTGAAAATCAGTTTAACTTAGTTGTAAAAGCATGTGTTCTAAGTAGTGTAAATATTGTTTTTAAAATAAAACATTGAAAAAAAATACGCCATTATGGGTGCCAATCTACCACGTTGGTCGCCAATGCACCATGTTGGGTGCCAATATACCACGTTGGGCGCCAATGCACCACGTTGGGCGCCAATGCACCACGTTGGGCGCCAATGCACCACGTTGGGCGCCAATGCACCACGTTGGGCGCCAATGAACCACGTTGGGCGCCAATGCACCACGTTGGGCGCCAATCTACCACGTTGGGTGCCAGTTTCATGGTGGATATATTAAATGAAGCTTACTCTAAAATAAAAGGTCTAAGCTGAATAATTTAATTGTCTTGCATCTTTGTTTACATAAAAAATAGCGTCATTGGAAAAACTCCCAGTTAGTGTATATTTTTAGCTACAAGCTACAAAAATACATGAATGTACTTTTCAACTAGGACTAAATGGAAGCGCCAGAACCAGCTGCGCCTAGAACAGTTGCGCGCGCAAGCCGCGTCAGGCGAGCGCGAGCTGTCGGCGCACGCGCTGCCGCTCGCCTGCGCGCTGCTGCCGCCCTACCCCGCCTACATGCACTGCCATCTGTGAGAGAAAACTTTATTTTAAAATCCTTTGATTCTTTAAGTTTCAATCACACCTATGCGTGCAGATCGCCATCGCCGGCGCGATCATAGGCCAATGAAAGGTCGCGCGACCCATGACAGTCCACACGACCTGTCATTGGCCTAAGATCTGCACGTGTTGGTGTGGTTGAAGCTTTATGCAGCACCGTCTAGTCCAAAGCAAAGCGTGTAAAGTATAGTCAAGTTAAGAGCAAAAATGTAATACGTTTCATTTTAATAAAAGGGCAATCTTTTGAATGTGCATTATGTGCCCTGAAAACAGCCTTCATACCTACTAGATACACACATTCTAATATAGAATTTGAAGTGGACTTGAAACCATTTATTACTGTGTGAAATTGTGCTCGTGACTGTAAAACTGACAACGACAGACAATTAAGTATAAAACATTGAAAACACAATAATTCCATTCCTCCATGAGTCTGCCATAAAACAGATAATGTTCATAATAATCATGTGTCGTATGGGGATCGAACCCGTGACCTCTGGCTTAGTAATTAATCTAGTAAACGAACCACTAGGCCCGTGACTAGGCCAAACGACTGTCATTAAAATGCTTACTCATTTGTTAGTTTTCTTGAATGAAGTCACATGAGTAAAGAAATTTTTGAATATACATGTGATGACGCTAAAAAATCTTAACTAAAAATTCAACTTTAAAATAATTTATTTTAGTTTTACTTTATTTTAACCGACTTTATTTAAAATGAATATTTCACTGTTCGATTCGAGTCGTAGATTGGGGGTGGTGGTGGTGGTAATTAATGTGTTATTCCTAAGAATTATAAGGCAAGGTAAACAATCATTAATTTATTGGTGGTGGTTAATTAACTAGACCCCCTTTTTAGTAGTAATTATAGATGGATTGTAATTTGTAATTAGTTGGGATTGTAGATAGCATTAATTTATTTGTATCTATGTATATCGTACTGTTAAGATGTAGAGATGTAGAAAGTCAAGTTTTATCGTGCAATAAAGTACCTTTTTAGCTGTAAGTTGTTGATGTGAATTTGTACATACATTTAGCATGTTTACGGACTAAGCCAAGAATTACTACTTGTAATTAATATTCATCATTGCCTCTACATTACAAAAATTACCAAGTAAATAACTAAAGAGAAGCGTTAGAAAACTATTTGTGTTTTGTTGTCTTGGTCCGTTATGTAAGTAATAATTTATCGTTCTGTCTATTCCAGCAGCTATTATAAATTTAGGGAAAATTATTATGGAAAATTTGCCCTTCATTATAAAGTAAAGTGAAATAAAATGTTTTAAAATGAAACGCGGCTTTTCAATTGTCAATCTTGAAAATACCCATTCAAAACAAATTATGCAAATGCTTCGCGTCATTTCGAATCACTGCTGCCAACCGCTGCCAATTTACATCTCTTACGACTTGTTAACATCGCAGACGGCCTCGCAGCAGCTGCAGCGCTGCCGAAATATAAATCATTCCACTACCATCTAAACAACCAAAAGGATGAAGCGCTCCAGCGCTCAAACTTCCCACTCCGAAACAGACTGGCAACTTTGGCGGGGTCTCAAAGTCGTATTATCTGTCAATTTATTCAAACAAGATGCTAATTTCAGGGCTTTTCGTTTCGAAATTGTGATTATTTATCTGTCTTTATTTTAGATTTGAGCAAACGAGGGTTTATTAAAGGGTGGGGGTCGTGCTGTGTGGTAATTGGGCTGTTTTGATCTCCCAGCGGGGGGCGGGTGTGAGGGAGGGGTGGTGGGTAATTGGAGTATTTTCCCAGCGTTTGAAGGGTAGTTATGTCGGGCCAAGGCTGAATGGATTAGTTAGCGGCGGAGATAACGATCTGTCAATGATGCTCTGTAATAGGCAGTTTCACCTATTCACGCATAATGGCGTGTTTACGGTTAGCTTTGGTTAAGTCTTAATTTAACGTGTTTGTTGTTTAATGCGAGTTCATTCTTCGTAACCAAAGGCCAATTTCGTCATTATGGATTGCTTATATTTGTGCAGAAGGCATAATTGCGGCGTATTTTGCACTTTGCCGACGTCATCTCCGTATAATTGTTTGTGGTATGATGATGTGCTTCGATGTAAAACAGCAGTCATACATTATTATTTATCCTTGGTCAAATTAAAGTCCCCTGGTAACTATGGATATCTTAATGTTAGATTTCGTCAGCCTAGCTAAGCGTCTGATATTTCTTGTGAGTTTAAGGAATCCTGCACACCAAAGTACATTATGCGTAGAGCTTGGCTTAACACGATGTTTGATTTTTTTTTTAATATAAAAATGTTTCTTAATTAAAATGAAATATACAACTAAGCTTTATTATTCAAGACTCCTCCACTCCAGTATCTGTTCGCATTGCACATCGTACGATCTTATGTGGTCGATGTTCAGGACAATCTCTTCAACCGCGTCTGGACAGATGGATGCGGGATCGAAGTCAAAAACTTCGTCGTAGTATTCCACTGAGCTGAACTGGTACTCGCTTCTGCGAACACTCGGGGGCTTATCAGGTTTTGGCATTACCTTCTCTGCAGTCGTTGTAGCCAAGTTTATTTTTTCTGGCTCATCTTTTACATCTTTAGTTTTTTCAGTCTCGACTTTAAGCGATTCACTTTTATTAAGTGCTTGTTGAGAAATGTCAGCTTGAGCCTTTTTTCTCGGAACGGCGATTTTGAACACGTCCTTTTTCTCAGGAGCCTGGCAGACGTCAATCAAGTCTTTCTCGTCGAAGGGTAGCGCGTCAGCAGACACATACTCCACCAATGCTCCATCATTTTGCAAAGACTTCCTATATTTCTTCACCTTTTCTTCAAACGTGTCTTCTTTACAGTTAGTTTTCCTAGCATTATCACTGAAATCTGTGTCTTTCAAGTGAGATATATGCCAGGTTCCGTCGTCTAAGTTATCGAAGAATCTTCTTTCTGCTGCGTTATAAGTATTTTTAACTTTGTTACCATTTCGTTCGAGTTTTTCATCGCTGACCACGTCTTCGGCATTAATTTTGATAACTAATATTGACAGTAATATTTTCCATGGGAGAATGACCATTTTATTCGTGTAAGTTCACATTGGTCGATGTTATCTTGCGAACTGGTGCAGATTTAATTAATTAAAATGCAATTGTTTTCGCATACTCTGTGGAGCGTGTAGTAAAAGCGGTATTTTATTGATAACAGCTACGCTATTGCTACAATATAAAATGGATAGTACAACCCAGTCGAGTTAACTGCGCAATTCTCTAGAATGCGACCTATTTAAATGACTTGGTCTGTCTGTTACTTTTTCACGCTTAAAACACTGAACCGATTTATATGAAGTTTGAGAGATAGAGATAGTTTTATACCCAGGGAATTACATAGAATACTTTAATACCAGATTTTAAACAGGAATACTGCGCTACGTTAAATATTTCTTATAAATGTATAAGGCTGGAATTCACGCGAGCGAAGCCGCGTGCAAAACCTAGCCAGTTATAAAGACCATTCCTATCCCTTTAAATTATGTCTATCGCTCCATCTAGTGACAAGTATTTTAGAGATTAACTCACAAAAATCCAACAAGCACCCCAATGTCCTTTTGTATAGCCCCAGGATAACAGATTAATGTCCAATATTGTTACTAGATGGCGTACGTACTGCGTGTGTCGTAGCTGTGGTTCGTAGGCTCGTAGCTTCGTAGCGCGTAATTCTCCTTTTGCATAGCTCCAGGATTACGGATGTAATATCCAATATTGTTACTAGATGGCGTACGTACTGCGTGTGTCGTAGCTGTGGTTCGTAGATTCGTAGCGCGTAATTTTTTCTCATTTTGCATGGCTCCAGGGATACGGACATAATGTCTAACGCTGCTACAAGGTGGCGCACTTACTACGCATTTCGTAACTTCGTAGCGCGTAGCTCGTAGCGAGGAATGCTACGAAATATGCGGAGGGAAAATGATACTAGATGTCGCTATAATCTATCGTTAGTTGTGTTTTGTTTGCATTTTATTTGTTACAGATGGGACATATTAATTAGCAGTTCACTTACTTTATGACTTTTTTAAACCTTTACAACGTGAAAGAAAATATCCACATTAATTTATAACAATAAACGTATTATGTGCCAAATAGATACAAGCAGTATGTACTTCCATAAATTGCTAAAGGCATACGTTTGTAAAAATAGAGCTAAGAATAATTTAACTTCTTTAGTAAAGTTTCAATCATACACCAGTTTCACCAATGTGTGTTATACAGCGTGTGTGGTGTGTTCTCTTTCATATATGGGGCATTCCACGCGAAGCGGGCAGGTAAAAAAAGTCGATGTTTCCGATTTCAGTAATATTTGAGTATGTTCTACCTATACATATTATTGATACGTGTACCAAATATTTTTGTAATATAATGACTGGTTTAAGAGTTATGGGTCTTCGAAGTTTTCGACAACCGGTTGGCATGCAGTACTTCAAAGCCGATTATGGAGTCATAAAATTATATATTAAAATAATTAAACCACGGGATTTATTACTTCATTTACCGTGCTTTTTAACTGTATATTTGGAAACGAAAAAAATTTATTTTTTCCTAAAGAAAATGCAAATTAATNAATTATTTTAATATATAATTTTATGACTCCATAATCGGCTTTGAAGTACTGCATGCCAACCGGTTGTCGAAAACTTCGAAGACCCATAACTCTGAAACTAGTCATTATATTACAAAAATATTTGGTACACGTATCAATAATATGTATAGGTAGAACATACTCAAATATTACTGAAATCGGAAACATCGACTTTTTTTACCTGTCCGCTTCGCGTGGAATGCTCCATATATGTTGCTACTGCAACTACAAAGGAGACAACACGATGCAACTACGTCCAGTTGCAGAAATCAATGGACAAGCTCTCATTTTCATTAGGAGCATCACGGTTTCTCTCTTTCATCCACCTCCTGTTACCTCGTGTCAGCCTGGTACATTGTTTTGGAAAAAAA